GCTGAAAAGTCCTTGGCTAGTGTAAGCACTGCTCAGCAACAACTAAAACATCGGTGTGTTATCAACATTGTTCTCCTCCTAAATCCAAAACACAGCACTGTACCAGCTACTAGGAAGAAAATTAACTCTATCCCAGCTGAAACCAGGACAATACTGCAGTCACTCTGCTACCAAGGTGGCTACAGGCACCAAAAATAAGGTGCCTGCCAAAGTCAAGGAAGGAACATGCCCTATATCATAATTTTCTGTTGGTGCTTTAGATATGAGCACTGTGACTCTTATGCAGCTCATTCTTAGGTGCTTGCCTTTATGAAGAGTTCCAGCTGGGGAATCTGGCTTTGAATGTTAGGTCTTGCAACAGTGAATGTATGTCTATTTTATGCATCACCTCTAGCCCTTCCATCTCTATACCTCCATTGCAAAACTACTTTACCTACCAAAAGTACAACCATTTATAAACTTCAGCAACAGATTACTCACTCAACAGTATCTTCACTCTAGGAAGTTTGCCAAGAGTAAAGCACACTCACAGTAAGTCATGAACTATTCCTAACAGTTGATCTAGTAAGAAAAACCCCAAACCCACAAATAAAAAAGTGTTTTTTGCAGTGTAGCTATCTTGGAATAACATTTTGTTTTTACAAAATATTTCAGGAGGAGTCGTAGGCAAGACGTGAGACATGGAAACCCTCTGACTCAGTGCCGAGGTTTCAACCTGAAAGGTACTGTAATTTAGAGATCCTCATGCTATATAAAGAATGTGTGGCTTTCCTTTATGTGATTCATCATAACTCACATTATCTGTGTGGTTTACTGGTAAAGCATAATTATTTTCCAAGTCTGAGTTTTGTTTTTATTTGATTTTAACATCTTTTCTTGCAATTAGATGAAACTTGCATATATATGATAAAATTTGAACCATGAAATACATAGTTCAGCATACATGAAATGGAAAGCAGACAGTGTTGACTGTACAACAGGTACAGTTAATTTGAGGGCTGTTCTACTTCTAAATCTGTTCAGTCTTTATTAATTCCTCTTCATGCATGTAAGTCTTGGACCTCAGAATTATTCTGCGTATTTGAGGCCATATTGTGTTTTGGAGCACATCTTTCAGCAAACAGCAGGTGCTCTACCTGTCTTTTGAGTTATGATTATCTCTTTCTCCCTTTACATGGGAAAATAAACCATTCCAAATCTCTTTATGAAGTCACTTATTTCCAGCTGTGCAACTGTTTAGTCAGCCTGGCATGGTGCAGATGGACAGGGGAGCCAATGCTCTGCCCTCCCAGCTACCACTTTCTCCAGACTGATGGACACCAGTCAAATATTGCCAAAGTCATAGCAAGAGTAGACACATACATAAAGGAAGCTTAATCCTCTTCAACCCCATGCATGTCTGAGCTAGGCTGTGGCAATGTATGCCACCAAACCAAGGGCACACATTAGAGAATTATGCTCCTTTCACCTCTGTTTCTGAGCCTGCATTTTGAAGTGCGTTCTCATCTGCACCATCCGGAGACCAAATAATAGACCTGACTGATTGTAAATTTTTGATTGAATTTTTTCAGTAAAAGAACAATGCTTTAAGAGTTACATGTGAAATGTTCAGTTAATAATAATTCCACTGACGTGGTCTCCACTGGGTCTCAGAAGAACCTCCTGGATCAAAACAAACCACAACAGTCAGTTGGGTGTAGATCCCTCAGCCCAAATGTGGCTAATCCTGCTCTAGCTGCCAATCTACAGTGCCAGTGGGTCTTTCCCCATGACTCAGTATTAGGTCATTTCTATGAAGCTGAATAGCTTCAATAGGTAATTACAAAAGATGATCCCACCATTAGAGTATGCACCTGAGCTCTGAGAGATCCCTGTTAAAACTTAGGCTCTGAATCATGAAGTAACTTGAGCTGCATGTCCTACCTTTCAGGCATGTGCTGTGACCACCCACCCATTGTCTGTCCCAAGGGTGTCTCCTCTTTCCATGTGGAAAATGTGAGAATGTCAACTGTCTGCTTTCTTGGCTGAGGGGATACAAATATTTAAACCTTGACAGTCTTGTGAAACAGGTTTCTTGTTTTCCAATCATTTTTTTTAGTGTGGATGTATTTATAGGTTTATGTGTTTTAGCAACTTTAAAGGATGTTTTGGTGACAGCAGTGGGATATAGCACAGGTAGATGGCAGTTGTTTCCCCGGTGGAAAAAAAGATAAAAAGAAACAGCAACTTAGACTTTTTCAAAATATAATTAAAGCCATTTATAGCAAGACTACTATGTTTGGGGAGAAAATGAAATCTATCTAAAGGACAAAAGACCAGAGAGTAGGGCAATAGCAAGAAATCTTCCAAGTTCATAGGGAACCATAATCTTGAAACAAAGTCTTTAAACATGATAGGTTGCATGCCTTAGACCTCTCAGCATGTATAAACTCAACATTTTGGGCATATTGCAATTTTTAAATAGATCATCATGAACTAAGGGGCTTGTATGATTGCTTTTCAAATGTTCTGTTTAATATTGTTACGCTTGTGTTAGCCCTTATGGTCATTAGAGAAATACATTCGTATTCTCTCAATCTTTTTCTTAGCATGTATGAGTAGTAGTATTATGGACAAGGTAAGAAGTTAGATATATGTTGATCAATTAAACAAATAAAAATGCATTTTTGTAGTACACCTAGTTCCAGTGTACATTAAAATAAAGATGTATTACAGCTCTGATTCTCACTGTTCCTCAGCTACAGATAGGTCAGCCTGCAGATAAGCTCTTTCCTAGCTTATGGTCTTTGAATGGAAAATATTTCCATGTTTTTCTCCTAAAAGTTGCAACTGATTTTGGTACAACCTCATAAATGTGCTAAAAACTTTGAAGGACTAAAACCAAGTAAAGTCTCCTTCCTTTAGTAGAATAGATTCCAATTTCACATATCAGTTGATGAAACAAGCTGAAAAGAATGGGAGATAAAGTAGAGTCTGAGGAAAACCAGTCTGTGCAAAAACAGAGTCTGATTTTAGACATGTTGACTTCTAAGTATTTGCATTTCTCATCCTATTTTGTATCCATTGCTCCTTTAAAAAAAAAAAAAAAGAAAGAAAGAGAAAAATATTCTATTTTATATATGATGTAAGCTTTTAAATCTGGAAGTGTATTGTTTTCAGGACAAGTAGTATGATTTGGACCAAGCAATAAGCATCTAAAAGTTCCTATCGGTAACCGCCAATTGTTCATCTACCAAGACTATAAAGGGGCACAACAAGTCTAAGCGCTGACATACGCTCAGCACTTGCCCAGGTGTTGCTGGAGTGCTATAAATCTGTCCTGCTCTTTGTTGCTGGCCTGTCTACGTATTCATTGCCTTTCAGATTTAGAGCCAAGTCCCTTCCTTGCCTTGTAAGAGAAGCACAGGAGTGGGAGCCGAGTCTGCCCTCTCTCGCCTCCCTGTGATACTGCACGCAGCTGGAATAGACGGAGCCTTCTTTAGGGCGTGCTGCTGTATTTTGAGTCATACAACCATATTGCCCCAACTCGTAAACTGTGAAGTGTGAAGAAATATATTAAATGCTTCATTCTCCTTTGGAGAGTTCTAGACAGGTGTTCTTGTAGTAGTAGAGAATGAGATAATTTCAGGGAACAGTATCCCTGAGCTCAGTTTTCCCATCAGCAGAGCTTACCAGCCCACAGGTATCCTACTTTCTCAGAACAGACCATGTCGGATTGAAAACACTGGTATTTGGAACTGGATGTGCTTCTTCACATTTCATTTCATTTCTTTGAAAATTTTGTACCCTAAATTACTTATTATTGGCCTATATCAGGATCAGATATACTTCATTTTACCTGTATTGCAAACAGTTACTTGCTTTCTATATCAAATCACCATTCACGGTAGCCTGACCTGTTTTCTTTTTCTTTCTAGCATACAGAAACGCTGCAGAAATAGTTCAGTATGGAGTAAAAAACAACACCACCTTTCTCGAATGCACACCCAAATCTCCTCAGGCTTCTATTAAATGGCTGCTACAGAAAGAAAATGACAGGAGGAAAGAGGTGAGTAATGTGAGCAGTAGCTCTGGAAGGGACCTCAGTCAGCATCTAATCCACTCCCCGGACCAAGGCAAGGTAGCGTGCGTGTTTTCATCAGACAGTCCGTCTACAGTGAAGCTGGAGAATTTGCGTGGATGCAGGACAGTGACCAGCACTTTACTCATATAGATAAGGGCAGACTCTTCAGTATAGCTGGGACTTCACTCCTCAGCCCCAGTGATTTCTATCAGACCAGAACAGCTATCAGAAAATTCCTGTCAGCTCCCAAAGTCAGGGAACTAGTTAATGAATTTTTCCTTCACACCTTACTAATTGAAAACTGAAGGTTTGCAGCACTCAGGACTTCTTATTGATCTGAGGAAATAGGCATAAAAGCAATAACCTGTATAAAGTTCAGGAAGAAGTCAACATGCAGTAACCCTTCTGTGCTATTGGAGAGATAAAAGGCAAAAGTGGGAGAAATGTGAAAGGTTTCTTTAGCAAGAAACTAGTCCAGGCTAAGAACACGTATTGACAAAAGCATTTCCCCACCACGGTGCAATCACATTTTCCATTACTGCACTCTCTAAGGCTCTCAAGTTTCAGCACTGTAATATACAGTATGATTGTTTATGGGGAATGTGCCTTCCTTAAGTAATATAAAAGGGGAAAAAATCCATTTCAAATCCAAGGCAGTTACTATATGAATAAAAAGGAACATCTTTTGAAAGGAATTATTAAGTAATATGGTGTCTGTTGATAGATTATAAATACTGAAAAGCATTATTCTCATACCAGGCCATTTTCCAAAATCAGAGAGGACTTACAAGCCTTTCACTGAGTCTTTCACGCTGTTTTTCTCATGTACTCTTCAAAGACTCAAGCAGTGTCCTGGCAATCTAGGTGCAATTCTTTAACCCCTTGCTTCAGCAGAACATCTCCTTTTTTAGTTCTTATGTTCAATAACTGTATTAGAATCAACGCAGTTTTAAATAACAACAGACAAACTAAAGCAGTCAAAGGGTTAATTACATTTCCAGGTCTCAAATTTCTGAAAATCTTACCTCCACAATGTCTACAAAAGTTTACAATAACAGAATAGCATAATAAATAAATGAATTCCCAAGAGAATCAGATATAATGCAAAGTGCAGTGGCAAAACAGAGAAATCATTCATACAAATACCAGCACTGGTATTCTTTCATAATGGGTTAGATTACCGATTTTTACTTCACAGCTGATATGCAAAGGGACATGTGCGCAGTCATTTATAATCAGATGATGACTCAACAAGCTGTGGTAACTTGCTTCCTTTGGATGATGGGAAGGAAGTCCCATCTCCTGGGACTGTCGAGAGTCTGAAGCCAGAAAGGAAATAGGAGAGTTGAAAAATTGCTCTTGGTGTCCAATAAGCCAAGTCCCAGCTGAGGCCACTGTGATGAAAACTTTTATACCAGGCTATAGACTCTGCAGTGCAGACAGAGTTCTTCAGAAGCTAGCCCCAGGAACCTGCTCAAAGTCAAAATATTTAACTAGAAGCCACCTTGTGTTCAATGACAGATCAACCCCCAGTTCTGCACCTTTCTTCCACTGAGTCTTAGCAGCAATCTCTGATGCTGGAAGAGACATTCTCGGGGGTGTGACCCTGGCAAATGAAAGTTCATTTCCTCAGCTCTGCTATTTGAACATTATGAAAACTATTCTTTCATGTAGTCTCCAGATTTGCATCTTTGTCTTCATCCTGATCAAATCTATTGTAACAAAACGAATAAAAATATTGAAGTCATTTTCTTTAGCGACATTTATGTACCTTGAGGTAAGTTCTCTCCTAACAGTAGCAGTAACAGTGGTCTCTGGGAGATGTGATAAAGCAAAACATAGTACCTTTAAGAAGCCCTCTAAGAAAGAAAGAGGCGTTTGAAGTGAGACTTACCAAGAGATCCAATACTGTGTTGTTCCATAACATTCCCTAAAACGTTCCTTCTGCCTTTTTGCTCTTTAGGTCAAGCTGAATGAGAGGATCATAGCTACTGAGCAAGGACTCCTCATTCGCTCTGTCCAAGACAGCGACCGGGGGCTTTACCACTGCATCGCAACAGAGAACAGCTTCAAGCAGACCTTAGCAAAGATCAATTTCAAAGTGTTGGATTCAGAGATGGTGGCCTTCATGACTGACAAGTGGTCCCCTTGGACCTGGGCCAGCTCGGTGCGAGCGCTGCAGTTCCACCCAAAGGACTTTGTGGGAGCTTTCAGCCACTCAGAAATGCAGATGATTAACCAGTACTGCAAAGACAGTAGACAGCAAGGTCAGCAGAGGGAAGAATCCCAGAAGATGAGAGGGGACTACAGCAAACTAAAGGCTCTTATCAATAGCAGGAAAAGTAGAAATAGAAGGAATCAATTACCTGGATCTTAATTTTATTTTGTAGTAATAGATATCTTTGTCCTTACTGTAGGGGGCTTATATTTGTCTGTTGAGAACAAATTTGAGCAAATCTGATGAAAAATTAAATGAAAATCCAACAAGCCTCAGAAAAGATCCTCCTCCCAGTAAAATGCAGTGTAACTTAACTAAAGAAAATAACGCAGAGCATTTTCTTTTCTGGATGCCTACTGACACTAGGTTGGGCTCTGTCCTAGAAGCAGAACTGAGTATTCATCTTAAACCAGATTCACATTTAACATCTCAGTATTTAATTACAGTTGAATAGAAGTTTTTACAAAATCAATGCATTATCTTGCAGCTCTGGAACTGTACCAACCAGACTGGTGGTGAAAGAATCTGGGTTAAGATGCATGCTTGAAGTAGGATGGTACTAAGATTTCCTTGCACTGCATTTAAGAACATGAGTTCCTTCTTGTTTACTGTTCAATATTGGGTTTACAGCTTTCACTCATTGTTCAAATCATGTAAATGCATGCTGATAGGAAGCAAGTAAAGTATAGTAGAAATGTTTCATTCATTCAGAGTTCAAATGAAGGAACGAGTAGAAGAAAAAAAAAATTATACTTTATCAGAGGAAACACTGATTATTGTGCATAGTATGAGTTGTAATAAATTCATGAGTTCTGGAATGTAACTTAAAATATTTCTGCTCATATTGATTTTTATTAAAATAGGGTGTCCTATAACACTACATAGCTTTATAAGTGGCACAAAGCTAACATGAGAATGTTCATTATACATACAATTTTGAAAAACACCTAAGTGACTTAGGTATTTTAGCTATTTTTCAAAGAATTACACTCCAGTTTTTTTCAAAGGACAGAATGTGGGTATACAGTATAGTGTTTACCCAGAAATGAAAAACATAGATTATCTTTAATCTGTTCCATGATTAAATTGGAGATGGTCTGCAATGTAGAAACAAGTCATAAGTGTCTTTGAAAATTTTAAAACATGATTTTTTCAACTGTTTTCTCAAAGTTGCAAATATTTTAACTGAAATTTTTAAATTAAACCATTTCCATTTTCCAGTCTTTGTACCCTTTTTCTTTTCAATGTTATTTTCACAATTTCCTTTTATTTTCAGTTTTCTGCTGAAAAGAAGATCAGGAAAAGAAAAGAAAAAAAAAGAATGAGGGGAAAATAAAACTGAAAAATGGTTTGGGTCAAAAAAACAAAAAGTTTAACAACTTAAGAGGCATGTTTAAACAGAAATATTTTTGTTTAAGAAGCAGCTGTCAGGTCTAATGAAGTATGTTTAGTTGAAAATTGGGTAAATGTGCATCAAGCCACCCTGGGAAAAACTATCTCTTTTTTTTTTGAGCAACAATAATGCCAAAAAATAGGGACAAATCTCATTTTACTATGTAAGAGTGTTCCGGAAGCCACTGAGTCTGTTCAAAGGAGATAGATAACAGGGATTAAAAACCTATGAGTACCTTATAAAAATTGTGGTTTATTCCATGATATTTTATGATAGTACACAAAAATATAAACTAATGTTCAGCTCAAAACTGAGCTATGTTCAGCTCAAAAAAAAAAAAAGGTAAATTTCTGGAAAAAAAATTGAGTGAAAATAATTTCTGAACCCAAAGAATATAACAAAAAAAACTTTTTTAGAAGTTGTTAGTTCTAGCCAGTAACAGATGGATACTGTATTTTAAAACATAGTTTTAAACATTTTAATGGGTCTTTGTTGAAACTCTTTGGGCATTATTTTGATTCTGCTTCTATTAGAGTACTCTGGGAGTAATTCTACAGGGTGTAGGAGAACACCTCTGGGTTTGTGCCAGTGTGAATTAAGATCTAGTGCAATGGAGGTAACTCTGGTATTTACCTGATATCAGTTAGATGTGTCACTTTATCACCACCTGATGCAGAATAGCTGGGGAATGGGGCCTGATTGATCAAACCACTTAAATGCTGTCTCTGAGTCCCTGTGATGCTGGTGGGAGCTCTTTGAATTAATTTGTGTGCTTACTGCTTGCTTCAAAGGGGATGGCAGTGCCAGCCTGCTCATATATTGCCATCTAGTTAAGTGTTTTCCTTAATCAAGGCCTAAATGCATATTTCTGCAATATGTAGCCACTGGTATCTAAAATCCTTCTTATGGAAACCATTGGGAAACTTTCTCTTTGACTTCAGTAAGCTTGGATCTGGCCCCAAGAGCTAGCAAAGCAGATTCTGGAGAAAAAAGAAAAAGGTAAATGAGATGGGTAAGGGAAAATAAGTTTTTTTTTTTTTTTCCCCAGCTGACTTTCAGTGCAGCAAACTACTTTTTTTTTTTTTTTTTCTGAGGATGACTGACTTCTGAAGTGTATAAGTGACAAACCAAAAATTGAGTGCCACAAAATAAAACTACCTCCTGAAATGACATTAGTGCATATACTCTGTATGCTGCCATGTTCTTCCTATTTCCCCAGCAGATCCACTACAAAGTTAGTGTGATATTAATGTCTATTGTGAGGATCATAATTGCTTCCAGATGGAATACAGTGATTAATAGGTATTTAAGGGTACAATTTACCCTTTAAGTGGTTAGGTACCCTGATATTTTAATAGGCCCCTATTAGGCCTCAGAAATTGTAGTTACACTGTTTTCTAATAGAATATTGGCAATAAGGGATTCCGTTAAAACAATCAGCATAGCTCAGAGTTTCATATGATTATAAAATAATATTTTTAAAGCTGCTTCATATACCATTATTATGGTATGACTGTTTAAGGGATTATACTTAAACTAACATTTTTCCTGCTGCATGAAAACTTCAGCATATAGATAATAAGCTTCTGTCAGTGCGTAACTGGTCCAAGCTTCCATGCTTAGCAGCCTTCCCCTGTGTATAGAGTAGTCAGGAGCCAGATGCTCAGCTGGTATAAACTAACGTAACTTCCTTGCTGTCCATTTAGCTACTGTGGTTTATACCAGATGAGGGTTTGGCCCTACATGTACAGAATAGACAAACTGCAATTTTTATTTGTTTAAAGTAGCCCCTCTACTGTAGGTAACACCAAAACTTAAGACTGTAATATTGTTTGTGCTATTTAATACTTCCTATTTTGAGGATTACTAAATAATGTATATAATTTTATTCCTTAAAAAATACAAAAGCAAAATGACTTCTAGGCATAACTTCACCAAATGTAAAGATACGTTCTCTGCTAAGAACTTCACCGTGTACTGATATTTTTTTCACTATTTTTATTTTGTGTAGTTTGTAAAGTTTGCTGAAATCTTGACCTAACAATGTGTTCTTTGCAATTGTTGTTAATGTAGATATGTGTGTTTTATTAAGAAAATCTTGTTTTTAAAAGTGTAGGTATGTGTATAAGTTCCTAGCATGATGAAGCTGTCATTACAGTGAATATGCATTATATAGTGTGTAAGAAAGAACAAAGTGTAGTTTAACATAGTGCTATTTAATTGAATATCTAAAATACTATTTGCCTGACAAAATAAAGTGTGTTGCACCAACTTAAAAATTTGTTTTCCCCTTTATAGATGTGTGTTAAAAATAAGGAACTTTTTTTTTCTCTCTGAAAAGCAATCCCATAGACTTTCTTAAACAAGAAAATACTCGCAGCATCCAGTATTACAGCTGATCAGTTCTGAGCCCTGCTCTGCATTAAACACTCAGTCACAGAGATTTCCAGGAGCTCACAAAGAGTCAGAGATGAATTCTTTCAGAAATGACCCCATGTAAAGACCCTGCATATAAACAGGTTAACATTTTTTCATTGTAAATAAAGAAAACTTCCATGGAAGTATTTAAAAGATGTGCAGATGAGGCGCTTAGGAACATGGTTTAGTGGGCATGGTGGTGTTGGGTTGACGGTTGGACTCGATGATCTTAGAGGTCTTTTCCAACCTTAATGATTCTATGAAAAGAAAGAAAAATTCGTTTTCTACTAGAAGTATAAAGTCAATCAGAAATGTCCAACTTTAAAAAAGGGGAGTGAAGTGTAAATGCTTTCTGCTTTTATTTCACTGGGAAAAAACCTCACAAAAAAACCCAAACAAACAAAAAACCAAGCACATTCTGTGAAATCCTGCAGATGAAACAGATTTTATTGTTCAGCTTTTTCTTTCAGCTGGGACTCGAGGCATTCTCCAAGCAGCTCTGCAGGGGAGGCAGGCTGGTGGGGCTGCGCCGCAGGGAGCAGCAGCTCTCTCCTATTTCCTACTTGTCCTTGGAGTGAAATAACCTGCCCGACACCTACAGTATGCTCCTTTTTCCTGCATCTGTCATCCAAGCAGTGTTATTATTGCTCTTCTTATCATCTGTTTTTCCAGATGGGTTTCAACAAGAAAGCATAGGGCCTCCTCAGTTCTTCGGGATAATAATTAAAAATTAAATGTCACAAATACCGACCTTCACAACAAGGCCCTGGATCGTTAAACCCGGATTTTGATTTCCCAGATAGATAGGTTCCTTCAAGGCTTTATGAGGTGTGAGTGGATAAGATTACCTCACCCCACGATTTCCGTACTGGCTGGTTCCTAGATGTGCTGACACTGGATAGTTACCTGCTCAGCACTCAGGCCAGTTTGGGCCATAAGCTGAGGTTTCAAGCACTCCCACGTGCTGTAGGAAATGTTTGGATTAGGCTCCAAAAAAGCTGGGCATTTACAGAGTTTTACACTCTGAGAAACCTTTCCCAGATCTGATCCTCTGTCTTTAAATCCTGCTCAGTTGTCTTTTGCTGATTTTTTCCCCCTTCTCTTTTTTTCCCCCTCCTCCAGGGTTACAGCATGGTTCAACACTTACTACTTTGATTCCTTAGCTCTCAGCTGTGGCAAAACAAGACATGGGACTTCTCAAGACATCAGATGTAAGATCTTCAAAGATCTGAGCTTTCTCCTTTGTCTTTCAAATGTCTGTTGGAATTTCTTTTTTTTTTTTTTCCATCTGGGAGCTACTGCTGTTTCTAAGGTCTCTCTTCTGGTGACAAGACCTTTCTAAAGTCTCTCTTCAAGTGAAAGCAGGATGCAAAACACACACACTTACACAGTCTGTTGCAATGCATGTGTCCATGCAGGATCCCTACGGGACAGAGCAGCGTCAAGTGCAGCCTACTCTATGTAGCCACAGAAGCCCAGAGGGGACCAGTGAAAAATGTTGCCTGCACAGGAGGCACCACTAACAACAGGGTGGCTCCCAATGCTACAGGATGATTGTTGCCTCCGGAATTAATTGTTGCCTCCAGAATTAAGTCAGCAGCTGTAATTCTACGGGGCAGGCCATAAAAGCAGGTTGAGGCATGGCGGCTTTTGCCTAAAGTAATGGACTAGGTCTCAGGAGACTAATACTTCTTTATCCTTTTCATTGCAGCTGGCTTGCTAAGCTCTTCTCATGCTCCCCAAGGTGGTCTGGGGAGAAGTGACTCCATGTGATTTGAGCCCAAGTATAACTACACACAGATACTCACCAGCACGTTCCACATAGATACATGCATACATACAACTACCTGCATACAGAGGAGCTTTTCTTTCCATACAGTATTTGCTGATACATTTAGCTTCCTTTAACATTAATGTATGTCCTTTTCCTGTTTCAGCACGGGCAGAATCAGACCTCAGGGTCCCAAGATATCAATAGCTTGTGGGTAGAGCAGTTACCATCTCTGAGAGCATTTTAAAAGACAATTAATTGGTCAACAAAAGCCCTTTCTTCTAATAGCTCTCCTCTCTAACTTACCTTCTTCTGCATTATCTCAAGAATTTCCTTTTAGCATCGGGAGACTAGCACAGTATAAGAAATAAAAAATGTGCTGGCATTTAACATGTCTAATCTAAACTAAAGACTGAGATTTAAAGATGCTTTGGCATTCTGAACACTCCAAGACGCAAATTCAACACAGCTGGTTCAGAAGTCAAAAACTTTACAGTGATAGACTGTCCTGTATCCCAGGACTCGTTATTGGATTCTATATACAGCTTTACAAAGCAAACAGCATTCGTGTATTCTTAGCACTGTATCAGCTTCATTATTCCTGATTTGAA